AGCTGGAGCTTTCTTTGAGACAGAAGGCTCACCCGTGTCTGCAATACGTGGTAGCACTTAGACACTAGGAGTCTCGACTGTTTCCCACCAGGGGTAAATTCAGCATCTTAAGGGTCAACAGTGAAACATTTTGTTCCGATCCTAATCCAGACTCCAACACCCAGGTTCCTAGTGCCTTCTGTTTCGATACAGTCACTCTTCAGATGACCCCATACATGCGAAAACGTGAACTCGCTCCCAAAGAGCAAATGTATTCATCTCAGACTCTCTCAGTCTTCAGAAAAAGACATACATCGGTGGTTCTTAACACCGAGTTTCTTGGGCCCCAGCCATCCACCCATTTAACCCACAAACACCGAGAGCCCACTGCAGGCCTGCCCTGGGCCAACACTGGGACGGGACTGCACGAGTCCCCGTGCTCACCAGCTCACGGCCTGCTGGGAAGACACCTAGACCCCTGGCGATGAGTGCGATAAAGAAATACAGGATGCACAGGGGCTGCCCGTGGGGAAGAACCCGGGCTTCTGTTTCCTGAAAGAAAGAAACTGAAGCTGAGACATAAGAAGGGGTGAGTCGAAGTCAGGGTGGGGTGTCCCAGGCAGCGGGAACTCATGGTCCAAGACCCCAAAACCAGAAAATGCAAGAACAGCACCTTCAAGGAGCTGCCAGAGGGGCCTGTTTGGCTGAAGGACAGGGAGCAAGAGGGAGAGGGGGACAGAGGAGACAGGAAGGGGTCAGGCTCCAGGAGTGTCACTGGCCGTGGGATTCTGCAGATTTCTTCATTAAGCAGGTTACCCGGACTCACTGTCACTTTCAACCTGGCATTTAAAGTTTTATAGCAAACACAAGCCTCTGACTAGGGAAGGGCTACCTGATCGACTCAGAGCTCCTGAGGAGGCAAGCATTCCAGGGGTCTGTCCTCAGATGCGAATGATGAGGGTTGGCAGAACCGCTGTCCGTTTGCAAACGCGCGCGCGCGCACGTGAGGATCGGCACAGTCTGATCAGGAGGTGGCCGGGCGGCCGTCCTGCAGATGCTCAGAGACACCCAAGCTGCACTCACTCACAGGCTCTCAACTTGGAAAGAAAGCAGTCTGGAGTGACAGTTCCTTAAAGAGCCATCGCAGTAAGTGAGGCCCGGACAGGCATTCAAACGGCTCACGTCTTTGTTCCTACCCAGCGCGTGTTCGTGGGATTCCTAAATTTATAGTGCAATTTCATTACCGAATACACAGGGGTTTCTCAAATAACCAGCTGGGGACTGAGTTACTTCTTCCGACATGGCACAAATAGTGAAGGCACTTTAATCTTAGGAGGGAGCAGCAACTCGGGGGAAGTGAGTCCCCAGAGAAGCAGGGACGTTGAAGGTGTGAGTTTTCAATTTCAAAAGAGCACAAGAGGCATGCACGGAAAATGTCCAAGCGGCGCTGGAGGAGGGAGCTACCCAAGCCCGCGAAGCCTGAGGCCGAGGGAACTGGCCCTGAGAACTGCAGGCCGAATGACAGTTTCAGACAATAGCAAGTAAAGTCTGTCCAAGCCCAGCTATTTTCATTTAAGAAAAAGCTGAGCGGAAGCAGGTAGCATGATTCTGCCACGGAAAGGCTTTCTCAGCTCTAATTACTCCCGATAGCTGTAATTTACAAGTTTCTGGTGGACAGAAATCGCCGAGATTCACACGTTTTCAGACCAACAGCTGCCACTATTAGTGAGCAAATCGCCAAGTCTTCTGCACGGCGGCAGCCGGCTCTCTGTGGCAGTCAGGTGACAAACCAGGCGGGTAAAGAGACCAGCCACACCAAGCAACCCCCGGGGTTTCCGCTCCCCGTGGGGCCAGCTGCAAGGCACATCGCCGTTGGGAGACAAAAAATGCCCACCACGGTCACACGAATCTTCAACCCTCCCACGGAGCGCAGCACCATACATACCGTGCAGAGGAGGACGCCCGCTTTGGAACGTGAGAATTCTTGAAACACGGCCGTTCTTTCCTACAGAAACAAGGAGAAACAGGGCCTTACAAGTCCGAGTCCGATTCCAGCGGGGAGGCTTAGGTGCTCATGACTCTCCCAGTTTTCTACCGCTCCTGTAACTATTTTTAGGCACAGAGAGGCTTTGCCAAGAAAGAGGAAGAATTGAGTTCCACAGGACTAGACCCCTCGGGCTGCGGCAAAGGCGGGGCTCTGAGGGCAGCACGTTTCTGTAAGACAACAGGGCGAGGCCAGGGGTGGGCGATAGGACCCTCCAGAAACAGCCAATATCAAGAGCGGGGAGGGGGGAGGGCCAGAGGTCACAGGTCATTGCACTCAGGGCCCCCAACTCAGAATTTATTCCAGTACTTTTCCTACGAGAGGCGTGGAGGCTGAAGAGCAGCCAACCTTCCCTCCAGGGTGATTTTTTAAAACCTGATTTTTAAAAATACTTCAAAATGATAAAAACCATATATTTTAACTGTACCAAAATTATATTTCAAGTCAAAGGAAGAACATTTAGCATCCTACTGCTCAAAACAAACCACCACTGCTGGCAACGCTTTCTATCCCGAGCCCCTTTCTATGCAAAACATAACCAAATATGGGGCTTTAAAAAAATCGGCACCATGGGTCTTGTACTAACGTGCTCTCATGATGTGCTGACAGAATGTGAACATCTTTTCATGCTGATAAATATCCCCAAACCACATCTTCTCCTGTGATGACACTGCATTCAGTGGGATAGGTGCCCCATCCCCATGTGACCAACACCCCACTACTGGCAACTCAGCCCGTCTGCATGGCTGATAACCACAAACAACACTGCGGCGAACGTGTTTGTAGGTGAGTCACTGCGCACACGCCCAATATTCCCTCGGGGTCAATACCTAAAGGCAGACTTGCTAGACCAAAAGGCCCAGGACGTGACCTTGCAGGGGGCACACTGGGGCTGCGTTCAAGTCACGGTGTTGTAATCAGCTGACACTTGGCTGTGCCCATCAGCAACAAAAAAAGGGAAATATAACCAAATTACTACAGGTTTGGAGAAAAAAAAGTGAAGTCTCTCGGTTCTGGCACAGCCCCCGGGCCTCCGAGGTGGGTCTCACTCTGGCCTTTTGTGTGCACGCATCCGTCCCACACCCGGACCCCAGGATACACCTCACTGAGCACAGTGGACGGGGACAACCAACATGTCCTGAGAGCTTCCGTGCGCCAGGTGCTGCTGGCCTGTGCTGATTCAGCCCTCACGGCAACCCTATGAGCAGGTACTATCACCATCCCATTTCCAGAGGAAGAAACTGAGGCACAGAGAGGCTGAGTAACTTGCCCAGCACATGCACACACTGTGGATAAAGGGCTGAACCCAGGGAGTCAATGGTGGTATTGCAGAGTCAGAATCAGAAAAAAACCTCAGGAAAGTTCACGACAGCCTGTGACACATCTTAAAGACTGGACGTCAGACACTCAGATTTGGGGTAAGGAAAAAATCACCAAACCCCTGAGCATTTATCACAACTTCCTAGCACCTTCTTCAAACTAGCTTCTCTTAATGCTCTTAAACTTGGCTGGGGTCATGGCAATCACTCAGGGAGACCATGCTGAGGTCCCTGTGGAGCAGTGGCCAGGGTAACGAGCCAGGTAGCTATGATGGGGACTGTTCGAGCTTAGTCCCCTGGGACAAGACCCTTACACAACATTTAGAAAATGACCTGCAGAGATACTCCCTGCCACCTTCCACCCACCTCAGAGGGAGGCTGTGAAGGCTGAATACTTAACAAACAAGCCAACACAGGTAAAATACTAAGAATAATTATCAAATTATGAAATAGCTACACTTTCCCTGAGAGGGAAATAACAATGATCCTGACACCTGACAGGTACTGGATGCCTGCTCTGTACCAGGACCTGCACCAAGTACCGGATCTGCGCTGACTCAGTGAATCATCATGGCAACCCCAGAAGTACGCACTGCCGTTCTCTTCATTTCCAAGACATGGACACTGAGGCACAGAGAGGTTAAATGCTTCCCTGAGGTCACACAGCCAGTGAATGGCAGAACCGGGACGAGAACACCAGCAGTCTGCCCCCAGAGCACACGGCTATAAACAGTCTACCCGGTTACCGCCATTACAATGTGAGATGCAGCATCTCAATTAACCTAACTACAGAATCTTTTGTTGACCTTTATTCAAATCCCTGGATCCCTCTGGGTCCACATCCAGCCCCCTCATCACCCTCACACGTACCGCGCAGAGTGAGTCTGAAGGAAACAGACCCAGAGGATTGGTAAAGTAAGGTTACAAAACAAAAATGGCATCCGTGATGGAATCAACAAGCATGCCAGCCCTGGGGACCCTGAAGGCAAGAACCAACAGCTTAAAAAACGCACTAAGGTTGGAATATTCAGGAAACTCTGTGTTTAAATAAAGAGCTGTGTCCTTGAGAGACCTTGAGCAAGTTCACTTCTCTGAGCCTCCATTTCCTTAGCAATTAAAACAAAAAAGGCAAAAGCAAAAAGAGGGGCTGGACCCGAAGGCCTTTAATGTCTCCTTGGCTCTAAGAACACTCCCGTTTTTTTAAGCTGGTTCTAGTCAACTGTGATTTGCATTCCGGCTTTGTTTTGGGCTTTCTAATTTCCTGAGCCGCCTGGTAACCTCTCCTCGAGGACAAGATGGCTCCTGCACCCGAGCCCTGCTGGTCCTCCTCTCACAAGCCCAGGAGTTCATCCAGGCTCCGCCCCGACCCCTAAGTGGAAGGCCGGCTTCCCTTCAGCGGAAGGGAAGCTAACGCAGCTAAGTGCTCAAAATAAGGAGAATGTTTTACTCTTCCTCCTGAACGAAAATACCTGCCCGAGCCGAGGCGGCGCTGAGCCCCGGAGCCCCGCTGGTGCCCGGTGCCCTCTCCCGCCTGAAAGTGTTGAGCGCGGGAGCGCTGCATCTTGTTGACAATGACAGCAGTCACGCTCAGCAGTACCATATGGGATCCACAATTTAGCTCCATTAATGCTCTTAATTTGAAGACATCAAGCCCTAATTACACACTGGGTACTAAAAAGGCAAAACCCTTCCCTGGTGCCAGCTACTTAGTGGTACTCTGTTGCCTTAACAGCTGGCTGAGGTAGATTCAGGCCAAGCCGGGCCTGCGAGCTCTTTCAGGTGGAAGGGACCAGCCCCCAGAGCGAAGGAAAACTGGGACGAAGGACCCCCCCTCCCCTTGGCCACATCGGCACAGCAGGGTGAGCCGCTGCCGCCAAAGCCCTGGCCAGCCCAGCGCAGCCGCAGGGAGGCCGGGCTCGCGTCCGACGGGC